GGGGCGCAGAGGAGGCGAGAGAAAGAGGGGGTGGGCGGAAAATGAGGAGAGGGAGCGAGCAAAAAAACAATAAAACGGTCGGCAGATGGAAGTGACACCCCGCGGCTCGTCGTCTCAAGGACCGAGCGCGGCGCTGCGCGGCGCGGCGCGAGAAAGGGAACACGAACAAAACGCCCGTCCGGTGGCGCCCCCTAACGCAGGGCGGCCTCGCGCGGCCCGCGGCACGCAAAGAAGGCCCTCATTCAGGTCGAGAGCGAGGCAGCGAGGCAGCGAGGCAGCCAGGCACACCTGCGGGGCGCCACGATCCCACATCAAAAGTGCGCGCAGTCCACGCAACCTGGCCGCCCCTCGCACACGCATCACGTGGACACTGGCCAGCGCGGCGAGCCTTCCCACGAGGCGGCCAAGTACAGTCTGTCTCAGGTCGGAACGAGCCTGGCGAGGTTCACTTGCCTCCTCAGCAACTGCAGCAACACCTCCGAAATGAAAAGGGACAGACCCTTCGCAGCGGGGGTTCGGCACAGGCCGCTGCCACCCTCAATAGCAGGTAGCCGCACTACAGTCAAACTCCAATATAGGCTCGCAGTTCGGGAGGGTCGCCGAGACTATTTCAGATTGGGAAAAAGGTTTTGCACGTGTTGCCGTGGGCCTCGCCGAGCGCTCGGGAACAAGAGAGGCCAGGTCAGGTGCGGACAATGAGTTACTGGCCTTTGATTTTCGAAGCACCAAAACCTACAGTTTTTATAAATATGCAATTTTGAAACCAGCTTTGGAAAGAGGAGAAAAAACTGGAAACTTGAGTGAAAACGAGAAATCGCTACGACAATTTTCACATTTCGAACGCTAGACTAATGACCTCGGACACGCATCGTTAAAATTATCGTAGGAAGGTCTAATTAACACGAAAATTCCTAAAATTTTTGGCACTTTTAAACATAATCAAAAATGAGGATATTGTTAAAAATTTGGAGGTTTTAATAATATTAAATTAAAAGGCGCGCATGCCTTTTGTTTGGCTTCCGCTCGACTGGCCTATTGTCTGTGGCTCTGCCTGGCCTGACCCTCAATAAAACCCTCGCCGGTGAGGTGCTCGGCTCGGGGGCCAGCCGGGGGTCCGTCGCTAAAACCGAGCCTATATTGGACGAGCCTATACTGGAGTTTGACTGTACCGCTGCAACAACGCGACCGTCTCCAGGCTCGTTCCGACCTGAGACAGACTGTAGCCATGCCGGCCGCCAGACCAGCACGTTGCTGAGGCGGGGCGGGGCGGGGCGGGGCGCCAGCCGGCCCTGGCCCTGACTTGCCCCTGCCGCCGTCCCTGGCCGTGAGCACCAACCTGACATGCCCCGCTGCCCACAGGGCCCTACTGCTTGCCTTGCCTCGCCTTGCCTCGCCCCGACCGCAGACCATCAGACCGCGGCGTGCCAGGCTCGCCGGGGCCTGCAAGCTTCGCCAGGCATCGCCTGGCCGCCGTCAAGACCGTCGAGACCGCCGAGCACGACTCGACAACAAAAGCCGCCCTCCCGCGCGTCGAATCACGGCCCCGGCGGGGATCGAACCCGCGGCACGGCACGCCGGTGGCACGCCGGTGGCCCACCGATGCTCAGCCAGCAGACACGGCTGGCCGCGGCCGGCCGCCCCTCCAACAGGTTCCCTTCGGTTCCCCTCGGCTCGGCTCCCTTTCAGGCCGGACCCCCTCCAAATTCACTTTACTGCGACCCAATAAATGGCGTGTTCCCGTCTCGCCCGGATTACCTGCGCCATTGATTGGATTAGGGGAGGCGGAGGGGGACGGGGAGGGGGGCGCGGCCCCGAGGCATTCCCGCGGCAAATATGCCACCACTACTCCTTCCCAGTCCAACAAGTGCCGTCGCGGACCCAAACGGGCGGTCGACGGGAAGGTCGCCTGCCTCCACCGCGACCGTCAGACGGAGGCCTTCTCTTCGCCCTTTGCGTTGTCCGCGGGGCAGCCTGGTCCGCTGGAGGCCGGCGCCACGTCGTGTGCGGCCAGTAGGTCACGCCACGCACACGGACTGACCCGAAACGCCGCGGGACTCCGCGGCCAATCCGCGGCTAGGCAGGGACAGGGCTGCATCCGGGTTGCCGCGGCAGGGACCTCTGGGCAGGGCTGGGCCGGGCAGGGCCGGGCTGGGCCCGCACACTGCCAAAAGGACTGGCAGTCGTCTACAAAAGGAGTGACTGTCGCGGAAAGCAGCTTCCTTCCACATCAAAGAGCGGCGCAGCAACCTCGGACGCGATTCAAACGCTCCGTTTGCACATGTCTTCAATTACAGGGGGGTCACGTTGGCGTGGAGGAACCGATGCGAGCACGGCGGCCCCACTCGGGTGTGTTCGTGCGTGTGTGAGCGCGTATGTGTGTATGTGCGCGTTACCGTACGCGCAGTACGGTGTGCACCGCCGCGGGGTCGCACGCGCGGAGGGCCTTTCCCACACTGCCGCCACGCACACGCCCAAACGAACGCACACCGACGCGCACACACCACAGAACTAGAAAAAGGCAACGCGCCGTCGCGGCCCCGACGTGTATTAACGTTCCCGCGAATGATAAACGAGAGCAGGGCGGCCGGGGCGACGCGCCCGATGGACGGACAGGTGCGAGTAGCAGATTCCGTTGCTCTTGCGGGGCACGGCGGGGCATGGCGGGGCATGGCGGGGCATGGCGGGGCATGGCGGGGCATGGCGGGGCATGGCGGGGCACGGCGGTTCCCTCGGCCGCAGTTCGGTAATGTTCTTTCCCCGGCGCCTCCAATAAGTAAAGCGCCATCGACTGTCTGTCGCCGCCTCGCAAATGGGATGGCGCTTGGCCGGGCTTGGCCGGGCCGCGGACCGCCCCGCCGACCGCCCCGGCAGAAAGCACTAAAGCCCCGGTCCGTCTCCATCTTTCCACTCGGCCGCGGCAGTCATTTTAATTTTCGAGTCCATCCCGCAGTCATTAAGCAATCGAAAAGTTTCGACTAGGTGCGGCGCGGCGGCGCGGTGCGGTTCGGCCGAGAGAGGGATCCACTCCGCGCCCCGCCGGCCCCGCCCTCGTATTTTTAACGTTTGTTTACCCTCCTCGTCAGAAAGCGGGAGGGAAAAAGGGAAAATGTCGCCATTATTTAGGTGTCAATTATTCTAAAGGCCACGGCCCTCCCCGCGCCGTCGCGGCGGAGGCCTGGAGGCTTGCCTGGAGGCTTGCCTGGAGGCCTGGTTCGGTTCGGCGGCCGCGCGGCGTCGCGCCGTCCTGGAGGCCGAGGCCTGCCTGGTGTGCCTTATAGCGCCCCTCATTTCAATGATTTCCCGCTCAACTTTTTACCTTTATCCGACGCCCTTCGCCCCGTGAATGGCACGGCCTCGCCCGCCCGCCTCGTCCGCACCCGGGGTCATTTATCAAGTCTCTCCTGGACTGCTCCTCATCCCTCAGGACTCGGCGCAGGACGCCCCCGCCGCGCCGCCGCGCCCATGTGTTCCCGAACCTCACCTGGATCAATCCCGTAACAGGGCTGAACCATCCCGGGAGGCGCGTCGGGCAGCGGGCCGTTGCCGTCCCCCAGCCCCTCGGCTTCTACGGCCTTCACGGCGTCCTCGGCCGTCACGGTGTCTTTCGTGGCCTCAACGGGATCCCCGGCCTCCACCATCGACGGCCTCCGCGACGCCCTCTACGACGTTCTCGGCCTCTACGACGTTCTCGGCCTCTACGACGTTCTCGGCCTCTACGACGTTCTCGGCCTCTACGACGTTCTCGGCCTCTACGACGTTCTCGGCCTCCACGACGTTCTCGGCCTCTACGACGTTCTCGGCCTCTACGACGTTCTCGGCCTCTACGACGTTCTCGGCCTCCACGACGTTCTCGGCCTCTACGACGTTCTCGGCCTCCACGACGTTCTCGGCCTCTACGACGTTCTCGGCCTCTACGACGTCCGTGGCCTCCAGAACCGCCGCAGCCTCCTCGACGCCGACCTCAAGCCTGGAGTCCGTTGGTGCGTGCGGCGCTACACGGCGGCACGGCTCGGCGGCAGCATCTCCGGCTCGGAATCCTGATGCGCCGGGAGCCGGCTGCTCTGCCGCGGGCAATAAAACCAAAATCCACTTCCAGTGGGGACGCGCGCAGCGAGAGCCAAGCAGCGCGGCTCGACATCGGCGGCTCGGCACCGCGCGCGCCGCTCGTTCCAACACTTGGCCTCTGGCCGCCCGGGTCAAACAATTTCCCGGACGAGGAGGGAAGTCCGGCGCGGCCTCCGGGGACCGACGGCGGCTCGCGAGGAGCAAGTCGCGACCCTCGTCACCGCGCCAAGCGACGCCGTCAAGCGGCGCCGAGGGGGACGCGCGACACGGCCGAGTCCGGCGGGTCCCCCGCGAGTCCGGCAGTCCCGCGGCACACTCGCCAGAAACCTCCGCAGGACGCTCAAGGCCGTGCCGAGGAGCTCGGCGTCGGCGGACTCGGCGCAGACCGCGGACTCGGATTCATTTCGCACGTCGCCGTCGTCGCTCCGACTCTCTTGCACTCGAGAGGCGCCGCGCAGAGGTGCGAGAGAGACAGAGCGACAAAGCAGTGCTGGCCCTTCGGCGCCCTTCGGCCCCTGGGCAGCCTTGGCGGCCATTGCCGGTGGCGGCCTTTGTTTCCGGCCTGCATTGCCGAGCAAGGCCTGCGGCAAGGCCCGCGGCAAGGCCTGCAGCCTGCACGGCCCCGCGCCCGGCTCGGCTGGCTCGGCTCCCAAGGCAGGCCCTGGGCCAGAGCCCTGGCTGGCAAGGCAGGCCGAGGCAGGCCGTGGCGGCCGCGGCGGCTCGGCTCGGCTGCACAGCGCGGCGCAGGCAGTACAAGCATGGGGTAACGACCTCGCCGGAACACCGAGCACCGCCAGCACCGCCAGCAACACAGCCGGCTCCGCGCTCCGCGCTCCGCGGCCCTCCGGCTCGCCGAGGCCTCGCCGCAGCGAGCAGCACCAGAAAACCTTATACGGCGGGGAAGGCTGCGCCCTCGGCGACGTCGCCGTACTCACCATTTCGATGTCTTCCACTTCCTCGGGGTGACGCTTGTGCAGCTGGGCGGCCGGCACGGCGGGCACGGCGGGCACGTAGCGCAGGGGCTGCGGCTGGGGGTGCGCGTAGCGGAGGGCGACCGGGTGGCCCAGCTGGTGGCAAGGCTGGGGTGCGGCGTACGCCAGGTAGGGCACTTGCGGGAAGGTAGGGGCCGCCGTCGTGTCGGTAGTGGAGTCCAACGCGCACGGGCAGCAGCACGACGAGCAGGTCGTGGAGCAGGTCGCCGGGTGAAGTTGGTGGTACTGGTGGGGCGGATGGTAGGCGGAGGAGGGGACAAGCTGGTACGAAAAATACGTCGTGGTGTCGACCGGAGTGGAAATGATGACAGGGGGATAACTTCACGGAGACCGTGAAGACGGGCTGGCGGCCTGGGAGCGACGGTGGCGACGGTAGTGGCCTAGTGGCACCGGGAGCGGCGCCGGCTTGACAGAAGAAAGAGGCAGAGGACGCCGGCGACGAGGGTGCCGAAGAGGAAGGGGAGAAGAGAAGGAGGCAGCGCAGAGAGAACGTTCAGCACATCACACACGCACTATATGTACAGTTCACTGATGATTGTCGGCACGCATTTCTTGGCGCGGGCAGACTTGGCCACGGCGCACATACTAAGCTAGGCACTACGACTTGACACACACAAGCACACACAAAAACACACAAACACACACGCACGACGCAGGACGAAGGACAGGACAGGCCGGCTTGGCGCTCCGTTCCGGACCGTAGCCACCAGGATAGTGAGGTGAGCGCAGCGCGGCGTGGAAGGCAAGCGGAGAGAGAGAGGCACGGGGCCTCGCCAGCCCCGCCAGCCCGGGCCAGGGACGAGGACGACCGCTTCCCCCTCCACCTGCGCGCGCATCGCCCGCGCGCCCCGCCCCGCCCCGCCGCGCCCCGCCGCAGGGGACCGCGGCCCCGCGGTCCTACGGGGCCGGCAAGGCACCCGCGGGGGGCGGGGCGCGGCGGGGCGGGGCGTGGCGGCGAGGTGCAACACACCTGGAGAAGCGCATCTCGCTGCAGGCGCTGCGGGCGGCGGTTCGAACCGCCAATGAGGCGTGCGGCCTGGAGGATTAGTCCGACTGGAGAAGCCGCCGACGCAGTGAGCCCCAGCACCTCGCGGCCGCCATGGCGCACCATTTCCAGGCGGGCCGGCCAGCTAATCTCGCGGACTTACCGGCGGCACGACTTTGTCGCTAGCGAGGCCCTGTAGACCCTCGCGGCGCCGAGCAAAACTCCCCGAGGACTTGTTGATCCGACGACGTCGGCCAGTCGGCGTCCCCGCCCCGCCCCGCCACGCCACGCCCCGCCATTCTCAAGGAATGCGGCTCGGCTCGGCCCGGCACGCCCCTTCGGTCCGGCTCGGCTCGGCTCGGCCCGGCCCGCTGCTCCGCTCGAACGGCCGCTTCTCCAGGCTTCTCCAGGCCGGCTCCAGGACTCCAGGCCGGCTCGGGCGGGCGATGCACCGCGGCGTGGTTGCCGGCTGCATTCATTGCCCTACGACTCACGACCACCGCCAAGGCGCGCCAAGGCCATCGGGCCGGCCGGCCTCCCTCCTCTCCCCGCGCCGCGCGGCCCCATGGCGCGAACCAATGGCAAGGCCCGCCGGCCCGCACGCCCAGGCCGTGCTCACTTCAACGTTTGTGGACATTTTGGATGCCCATTTCTCGTTAATGGCTACAGCCAAAAAAAGTAAACCACATGGTAACTTAAATTTAAAATTGAATTTTGAACTTAAGTTATCTTAGGTAATAGGTATTTTTTATTTCTAGCCGTTAGGCCTAGCAGCGTTGATTATGATGATGTTGACGAGTAACTTACGAAATCACTCAAAAAGTTAAGTTATCACGCCCTGCTGCCAGCCCACCAACCCAAGAGCCCGCCACTGTGTCTCGACCGGCAGAGCAGAGAGCAGGGACTACACCCTTAAAACCATACGAAGTATTTTGTGCATACATACGTATACAAACTAACTTACTTTGTTATACGAAGAAATAGTTCGTAAATTACGAAGTATTTTCTTTGTAAGCTTATGTATGCTCAAATTACTTTGTTCTAACAAACTGCTTTGCTTTGCAAGGCCTGAAATAGTTTGTAAGGTTCTCAGTGGGTCCTGCAGAGTCCGGCGGTGACACCACGCAGCCGGCGCCGAGCGGCAAGCCCGCAGACAGACACAAACACACAAAGACACACCCGCACATCAGACAAAACATAAAACACACAAACAAAACGCACGCACGCACGCACGCACGCGCATGCCGGGTATGGGGCCGGGTCAACTTTCACAAAGTAAGAGTATAAGGAATCATGCATCCAGCTTTCATCAAAGTGAGGTTCGTTGCCCTGTGACCCTTTGGAAGCTGGAAGACCCCTTTAGAAGCTGGAAGACACGTGAGGCAGTGGACCCGACCCGCGCGCACACACCAAAACACACACACACACACACACACACACACACACACACACACACACGAGAGAGAGAGAGAGAGAGAGAGAGAGAGAGAGAGAGAGAGAGAGAGAGAGAGAGAGAGAGAGAGAGAGAGAGAGAGAGAGAAGGGCTAGCGAGTCGCTCAGGACCTCGGGACAGGGAGTTCTTCCGGAAGTCCGGCCGCCACAAAGTCGCGCGGCGTCCACTCGGGAGAAACACCTCGATAGCATGTCTTATTCATCGCGGTGGCCCCCGCCTCGCCTCGCCTCGCCCGCCTTTGGCTGCCTTTGGCTGCCTTTGGCTGCCTTTGGTCCTTTAAACAAGTAAACCGGGCGGCGGAGCGGCGGAGCGGCGGACAGACAGGCCCGCCACAGGGTGCGGCCAGCGCGGTCAGGACGCCAGGGCGGAGCGGGAAAAAAAGGGGGCCATAAATAAATGCTGACAAACTCGCAGTGAAAACCACGCTATCAAAGCTTCATGTCGGGCGGCGGCCTAGAGGCGGACACGGGGCGCCAGAGTTTGCGGGCGCGCAGTTTCAATTAGGGATAGTTTCCAGACTTTTAAACAGAAAATACCAGGCGCGGCGCGGCAGCCCGGCCGAGAGGGGAAAATGTTTATGGGCCATAAAAATTCCCGCGAAACATATTGGAGCCTCTCCCTCTGGGACGCAAAACCCCCACACAACCACCTCTCTCCCCCTCTCTCTCGCTCACACAGAAGGGTTGAGGTGGCCGGCGGATGGCAGGCACCTGCAGCGTGCTTCGGACATTGCCACGAACGCGGATTATTTACTTCGCTGGAGAGCGGAGCCAAACGCGGAAAACGGCATTCGCTGAAAATCGAGTTCTCGCCGGAACCACTGCGCTGCAATCATCGCACGCAGATCCGCGAGTTTCCCTCCTCGCGGCAACGCGTCGCGACGGCGGGCCGCGTCAGCTGTCGCCGTCCGGCCCTCTCGCGCCTTCGCAAGCCGAGGCTCAAGCCCGCACACCCGCCGGACGCGCCCCACGAGTGCGAGAGAGAGAATGAGTCCGCGGTGCCGGGCCGCGCAGTGTGGCGGGCTTTCGGTGGGGCTGGCGCAGGCTGGCGGTGGAGCTGGCGGCGCGGGGTAGCGCCACGCCAAGGACGCCCTGCGCGGCCTGCGCCTCGCGGCCAGGCAACCCAACCGGCGGCGCCGCGCGTTGGTGTGCGGGCGCTGCCTCCGCGGGCGCTGGCCGCTCCTCGCCGCTCCTCACCGCGGCGGCGACGAGGACGCACTGTAAACAAACCTCACCCAACATCACGCATTCTTAAGAACACTGTTAGACGTATCCGTAGCATTTTTGGACGGGGCCTCACAAAACGCTCGGCGAGGTTTTCACGGCGCACGGGCAAGGACGTGGATTCGCTCTCCGTTTTCAACGACAGAGTACCACGCAACGCTTTGCATGGGTAGCCTCGCAGTAAGGAACAAACGCGGGTTCGCAGGTAATCACGGATGCAAACTGGATCATCCCTGAGAAATAAACATCAAATACTCCGGTAGTTTATTCCGGCCAGTGTTCTTTTCTGCTCCGGAAGTAAGCAAACAGGCAGGCAGCCCGCCCCGCCCCACCACGCCACGCCACGCCCCGCCCCGCCACGCCCCGTCCTAACCGAGTCACAGCGGTGCATATTTCATCGGCGTTGCCTTTGTACGCGACTGCGCGGGTCCAGGGCAGAAAGGTCGAAGACGCACGGAAGGGCGAAAACTTTGCGCATCGCGAGGTGGATTTGGCGCGCCGGTTCACAAATATAGTCTGTGGAGCGCGCTACTCGGGCCCGCGCACGTCTCGACAAACGAGTACCTGTCGCTAACTGCAGGCATCAGGATTGTTTCATCGTGGGTCGACCACTTTAAGGGACATTGGTGTGCGCATGAAGGTATTTATTCGTGCCAGTCACCACTACATCGTTGGATAAAAATTTGACATCAAAAATCTATTGAAGGGTGAGTGCGATTCCTGAAGACTAAGTAAAGTGGGTCCGATCTAGACCCGATCTAGAGCCTTCCGAAGCACGGGAAACACGGTTCTCGATTTTCCCAGGTAGCCTGCAGTGAAGGCACACGCGATTTCCATAGAGTTCTTGTAAAAAAAACCCAGGAACCGTTTACACCGTCAGCTAAAAGCGCGGCTTGAATCAATACTTCATTTTTCAGGACGCGCAGCGTAAAGCGCGGCGCCCGGGGGGGGGGGGGATCGAGAACCGCGCCCCTCGACCCGGAAGCTAAGGCGGCGACTCCTCGAACTTGTCAGATTTCCCGCACACACACACACACACACACACACACACACACACACACGGCACACACCGCACACGCTGATGCGTGCTCGCCTTAAGAACAGGCAGCGCGCCTGCCCCCGTACGACGATCCCATTCATCTCTTTTTCTCTCTCTCTCTCTCTCTCTCTCTCTCTCTCTCTCTCTCTCTCTCTCTCTCTCCATGGGGATGAGGCGCTACAAGTCACGCAGAAACACAACAAGGAGGCAACGGGAATAACTAATTACACCTCCGCGGTGGAGCGATACATCAAACTAATCCGCCGCCAAGGCTGCCAAGGCCGAGGCCCGTGCCGACAAGCGGAGCCCGCGGAGCAAGCAACTCAGTGCATGTCGCGGGGAAAGGGGGGGGGGGAATCATGCCTGCAGCTGTGCCGTGCCCGCGGCACCGCGCGGCACCGCCACAGACTTTACAAAGTAACACGTCTGCCGCTGCGGCTTGAGTCGATCCCTGTCCGCCAACCACGCGCTGTCGGCCGGCTCGGGTACAACAAGTGACAATCCTTGCTCCGTCCGCCCGTTTGCCCGCCAGTCGGCGCCAGTCGGCCCGGCCGCTTCAGTTGGCCCGAGGCCCGAGTATATCTATCTGTTGAGCCCCGTCCCGTCCCAGGCCCTGGCGGTCCCCGGTCGGCAAGTCGGCTGTCCCCGGCCCCCCGCGCAGCGTCGCACAGCCGGCAACAGATGAGCCATGCTTCTTCTTGCACTTAGCAGCGCGTGATTCATGGCTCCGTTTGCGCGGCCCGACCCGGCCCGCCACCACCAGCCCGCGGAGGGCCAGAGGACCGGCGCCGGCGGCCAAAACTCTAGACGCGTTTTGAGCTCCAGCGTCGGTAAGCAGGACTCGAGGCGAGCGTGTGACCCCAAGGGATTCCTCGTTCGGAGAGCAATCCATTGGTAGCACACGTTCGGTTCAGGTCTCATTGGCACAAGGCCTCTGCGGCATGAGTGCGAGCAAGACAGAGGATTCAAGCCACTTGCTTGCCGCGCCCAGCCCGCAGGATCACCGACGAATCAGAGTCAACCTCGTCGTCCCCGAGAG